TGAGACCACCAGAGACTGAGACCACCAGAGACTGAGACCGCCAGAGACTGAGACCACCAGAGACTGGGACCGCCAGAGACTGGGGACATGCTTCAGGAGACCGCCAGAGACTGAGACCACCAGAGACTGGGGACATGCTTCAGGAGACCGCCTGAAACCGGGGACATGCTTCAGGAGACCGCCAGAGACCGGGGACATGCTTCAGGAGACCACCAGAGACTGAGACCACCAGAGACTGAGACCACCAGAGACTGAGACCACCAGAGACTGAGACCACCAGAGACTGAGACCGCCAGAGACTGAGACCACCAGAGACTGAGACCGCCAGAGACTGGGGACATGCTTCAGGAGACCGCCAGAGACTGAGACCACCAGAGACTGGGGACATGCTTCAGGAGACCGCCTGAAACCGGGGACATGCTTCAGGAGACCGCCAGAGACCGGGGACATGCTTCATGAGACCTCCAGAGACTGAGACCACCAGAGACTGAGACCACCAGAGACTGAGACCTCCAGAGACTGAGACCACCAGAGACTGAGACCTCCAGAGACTGAGACCTCCAGAGACTGAGACCTCCAGAGACTGAGACCTCCAGAGACTGAGACCTCCAGAGACTGAGACCTCCAGAGACTGAGACCTCCAGAGACTGAGACCTCCAGAGACTGAGACCACCAGAGACTGAGACCTCCAGAGACTGAGACCACCAGAGACTGAGACCTCCAGAGACTGAGACCTCCAGAGACTGAGACCTCCAGAGACTGAGACCTCCAGAGACTGAGACCTCCAGAGACTGAGACCTCCAGAGACTGAGACCTCCAGAGACTGAGACCACCAGAGACTGAGACCGCCAGAGACTGAGACCTCCAGAGACTGAGACCTCCAGAGACTGAGACCTCCAGAGACTGAGACCTCCAGAGACTGAGACCTCCAGAGACTGAGACCTCCAGAGACTGAGACCGCCAGAGACTGAGGACATGCTTCAGGAGACCGCCAGGGACCGGGGACATGCTTCAGGAGACCAGAAAGAAAAGCTGACAGGTGATACTTTGTGACGAGTTGCTCGGAGAGCTCCGCCTACTTCCAACGTGCCGACCAGCCAGGAAATGTATGAGAGCCGACCGGGATCGGGGCGGTCATCACATGTAGAGAGGCGTGTAGGACGTACCGGGTATGTTCAGGAGCTTTAAGTGGTTAATATTTTCCATGCCAAAAGGAAACAGGAAGTCTGCCCCTCCCCCTTGAGGAGGAGGCCTCCTACCCCATCCATACCCCTATTCCTTTCCCATCCCTATCCTCTTCCCTGCTCCTACCCCATCCCTACCCCTATTCCTTTCCCATCCCTATCCTCTTCCCTGCTCCTACCCCACCCCTACCCCTATTCCTTTCCCATCCCTATCCTCATCCCTGCTCCTATCCCATCCCTATCCTCATCCCTGCTCCTACCCCATCCCTACCCCTATTCCTTTCCCATCCCTATCCTCATCCCTGCTCCTACCCCATCCCTACCCCTATTCCTTTCCCATCCCTATCCTC